TCGACCCGGTGTGCATATTTAGGGTCTCCACTCTCGATGGGACCACATTTTGATGGCCGTGACGCCATGTGAGAAAAACGTTAACTTCTTTTAAGAATGGGGGATTGGAATTTGGCTTTACCAATTTTTGGGTGTTGGAATTAAACTTTCAGGAGGAGATCAAATTACGGTACATGCTTTTTATTATTATTTAGTAGAGGTTTTGCGGCACTTGCAACTGCATAAGGTCATATGAGCGCCAAGGGGTGGATGTCAACAAAGACGTCTTTACAGGGAATCGGGGTTACTCTGCTCACTTCTCTAGCTTCAACAGCACAAAGTCTGTTTTGACTTTCAACGCACCCCGAAAATAGCAGGTCATAAGAGTGTGACAAACATACAAAAGAAGTAGAGGAAAATGACGATAGTAAGAATAAGGAAACAAAAAGCAGCAGTTCCCTGTTGTAATTCAGGCACAGTTATGAGCATGGCATTGTTGAATCAGCCCATTTACAATTCTACTGTGCATAAGAACGAGAAATGGGAATGGCCTAAAGACACTTCAGAGCCGGGGGTGGGGGTGGGGTTGCGGTACATGCAAAAAGGACTGGACTGGTCCCGGAAAGATGAGAAGCTCATGGAGAAATAGATACAAGGTAAAATAACGCAGAGCGAAGAAAAATCAATAAACTTAACACAGACGATCTTCAAACACCCATCAGAAGATACAAGGTTTTGTCTTTATCCTAGTTCAAACCCAATCGAATAGCGGTGGTGAACGATGAAAATTTAAACGTAACATGGCGTCTTTGACTCATTAGGGACTGCATTAATAATGTGTCGTTTTGTTCTTATTGTTATCCCTGGTTTACAACTGCGTTGTCCTAAAAAGCGTCCTATAGTCCAGGATTGGGGACCCTTTTTTAGTTGGAGTTTATTGACCGAATTTTAGTTAGAGTAAAATCAACACGACAAAAGGCCGTTCAATGCTGGGGAACAGCAAGGCAGACATAAACAAGAGAGAGAGAGAGAGAGAGAGAGAGAGAGAGAGAGAGAGAGAGAGAGAGAGCGAGAGAAAGAGGGAGAGAGAGAGACGGGGGGGGGGGGGGGGGCGGAGCTGGACAAACCAAATGCAGCCTCCAGCCACCCACTAGCCAATAGTGAGTTGGAGCTAAAAGGAAGCGCGGAAGTGGTAATACTTATAGACTGACAGAGACAAAATGAGAGGCCCAACAGCATTACATTTTTATAATGCGGGTGTTTTACGCTCACATCAACACACTTGAGATCATGGTGGGCTCCGACCCTTTCAACGTAGGCTGAGAGGGATACAAAGTCAAAGCAGAAAGACCAAGATGTTCGAGATTAATTCTCCTGCGTGCAATGGCAAAACAAGTGACTGTCTACTATACTATAGTTGCCGGTGGAACACTTGGCAAGTAAATAAAATTCCAAATGAATTGTTGCCTGAACTGAGTCGGCTCGATCACAGCAATTACGTTTCGTATAAGTAAGCATTTTACGGCACTTCCAACACAAAAAAGTAATTTAAGTGCCCAAAATTAGAGGTGTTACTATTCAAGAGTAAGATACAAAGAAAAGAAGGAGAAATAAGGACCATAGATGTTTGATAACAAAGAAGGTGCCAACCACAGCGCAGCACTCGCCAACCATACACTCACTCACAGCCATCTTTAACGGGGAATTTAAGGAAATGAAAACAAATTGACACAAAGCATGGGGAAAAGACCACGCTATCCCCCCCCCCTCCCGAAAAAAACCCCAAATAACAAAAAAACCCACACTATATCAAACTAGTTTATCCAGTTGCCTCTCACAAGTACACGAAGACGCCTCGAAACGGTGCACAGTAAGGCACAACATAATACGTTTGTTTGAGGAAAGAGAAGCACATTCACACAATAATGGCCATCCAGTGCTTTGGGGGGGGGGGGGGAGTAAGACAGACATGCAGAAACAACGAAGGGAAAGTACAGATGTAGGATCTATCAGTGCCGCCCTCCAACCACCCGCGAAGGAAAATGAGAAATAGTAGATCAACCACTCGGGAAGGAAACCGAGAAAAGGTTAAAAGGTTTTTTGTTTTTTTTGGTCACAAAATAAAACAGTAATAATAATATGGCCACAGACCGTGGGTAGATTCGGTCATAAAATGAGAGGAGATAGAGAACCCACCACGAAGAACAATGGGCTACGTGCTAAACAATCGATGAAAGCAATTTGATTTCAGCCGAATCTGACACACCGACTGAAAATGATAGTCGTGTAGTTTGGAAAAACCGAAGAAATTGGTTTAGTTTTGGCAAGAGTTTTACGGCACTGGCAGCACAAAATGGCTCATATAAGTGAAGAAGATTAGAGGTGTCACTGAAGAGTATAGTAACATACAAAGAAAAGAAGGAGGAAAGTAGACTCAAGCACAGTAAAATTTTAATGTTTGATTGGAAAGAAGGAGTAAACCACACAAAAGCGCCTGCCAATCTCCCATGCGATTGGTTTCATTACCGCTGTGAAGGATATTGAAACAGATAGGTAGGCACACGCTTGCAACGCAGACAAACGATTAAAAAAATAAAACTTAGGGGGGGGGGGGGGGAGGCTACACCCCCAAAGTCCCGATTCGGCTCAAAATTATGGAATTTGAGTTGTAGTCATTTCTAGATTCCTCGCCCTCTCCTACAACTATTTCATTGCAAAATGTCCCCCCAAAAACCTCATTCCTTCCCATACCGGGCATGTTTGTCACCACCATTTCCTCATATAAAGTCAATGTTTTATTTTTCTTTATCGGCCGTTTTCTCAAAACGCTACTTTTCTCTATACTTTTTTGAATAACTCCACCATTTCTTATCCAATCATCATGAAATTTTCACAGAACGAAGAAAAGATGTAATACTAAAAATCTGTCGGTTGAATTTTTGATATATGGAATAGATTTTTGTTGGGAGCGTCTTGAGTGTGGATTTTCACGGATGTTTTGCAAACTTGAATACTACCTCAGAAAAAAAATTCATAAAAATGTTTCTAATTCGTTTACGAAAAAAAACCCAACAGACACATTTTTAGATTTAATGTTTGTGAACACGCATGCAAAAAACCCCCAATCAATTTCTATGAGCAGTAAGTGCGGTATTCATTACGTAAGACATGTCAAAAAAATCCAATATGGCCACCGTACCCATGGAAATTAAACTTTTTTCTCAAATTTGATAGCGGATTTTAACACTCCTTGCTATGCTTGTTATTTGTGTGAAATTTGGTAAAATTCGGTCCAGTAATAAGCGAGAAAGCCTTCAGGTGTAGCCCCCCTCCCCTTTAAAAAAAAAAAGAAAGAAAAAGAAAGACAGTATGACCTAGTGAAAACCCGTCAGAAATAAAATCTCCAAGCAAGCAGTCAGGGGGATGCTAAGGCGAAAGCTCAGGTTTTAGAACTTCACCATCTCGAGAAAATATTAAGGTTTCAGATCCCAGAGACGACTGA